CACCTGACACCCACGGGCAGGATTTCCAGGCCAGCTCGCCAGTCCCACCTGCAGAGGGGCAGGGACTCCTGACCCTCAGCTAAGGAAGGGATCAGAGGTTTTCCCGCCGTGATTTCACTCCCGGGACTCAGTGTGCAATGACACCTAGTGGCTCTCCGCTCCTCTTCCAACTAGGACACCCCGGTGTGCCCAGCCGAAGGGGAAAAGCAACCTTTCGCAACCTTTGCAAAGTAAGAACGAGCATTTATTAAGGTAAGTCTTCCCTACATATAGTTTTTTGTTAAACACCGAGGTAGAGGTTTTGCTTTTATGTTGTTCGCTTTTTTATTTAAAATTCCAGAGGTTAAATGCATCTAAGCTTTTCTTTTCTGGCAATTACTGCTCCTAAAAAGTGTCAGCAGGTTTGACAAGACAAAAAAAACCCCCACAGCAGACCTTAAACCAATCCAAGTCTTATTTCTTACACTTACCAATTAGTTTTCTAATAGCTGCAGCTGTATTCTATGCAATTCCAACTACACCTTGTCACCAAAGTCCGATTTGTCCACCTGTAGTTGAGACACGGCTCCTGGGTAGGGAACTGTGTAACCTAAATTTCTGTGGGATTGTCAAAAGCCTCTATTTTGGTTTTTTGTTGCATTAAAGCATTTCTTCTGTTTACAACCAAACCAAAACAATCATAGAAAAGATATTAATTCAGGTGCCGAGCACCAAGTCTAAGAATGTTCTGTGCTCTGTGTGCGTATCACTTAAGGTAGGTGCTGCTGTAAGCTACAAAACTGCCCTGGATTTAACGCAAGCACAGGAATTAAGGACAAGCAACGAACACAAGTCAACTTTTTTATGATCTGCCTAAGTATAATGAACCATCTTTTGAGTCACACCCACCTAAGAACAAAGATAATGTAGTAGTGAGGGTTCTCCAGAGCTCACTAATGCAATGGAACAGAACTACAATTTGTTTAATGATCTAGGAAATCACTGCTGAAACTTAATCCAGTTGTATCTAATCCTATAACCTCATAAATTAAGAAGCCAAGGGTTTGGTTGTTTATGTGGCAAATACATCCATCCTCACACAGCCAGGAATTGCTGGTGCCTTCAGCTGAGGCCACACGTTGAGTAACTTCTTGAGAAGCTGAAGTGAGCCTAGAACTGCTGAGAAAACGCGTGTGAATTGAACTTGTCGGGCTGGCTGGTGCCAGTGGGATTTGCAACACCTCACGGTAGGCAAGTTTGGAATGACCTGCTCTTCATCCTGCCTGAAGAGAGGTAGGTGGACTAGCTACTGACGGTCGTGGATTCTTTTCTCATCAGGGTAACAAAGAAAACATTAGAAACTCTAAGTACTAACTGAATGACAAGAGTAGTTATTAAGAATTTGTATCATTTACCAATGCATCAAGAAATTTGTTTAGCCCTACAGTTATCATATTAAGAAATTAAAAGGTTTCCAGCTATTTTAATTGATAAAGGAGACTGAAAAAGTTGTACCTGCTCTTTCTGCAAGTAGTCATGACAACGATAAGTGGGGAAAACATATACAGCTCTGCATTCTCCTAAAACTTGACTATTGAGTTAACTGTTTCCCTTATTACTTGTGAATTATGTAAAAAAAAACCACCAAAAAATTGCACAAGCTTGCTCATTTATCTAGTAAAAGATCTTTTGAAATACGGACAGCACTTCTGAAAGTGAAACTAAGGCGGCAGCAGGCAGACATTTGTTGAAAACAAAACACATTTGGGCATGCTTAACGTAGCTGCCACACCTAAATTCAAAAAGCCTCGCAAGGGACCACCAGGAAATCTCTTCAATTACTCGCCTCAGTTATCTTCCTCTAGTTCATAGGCACAAATTCACAGGAGAGAGAGTAATATGGGAAAATAAAACAAAGAATCCTTTATTTAGTCGAGAGGACAATCAAAATGGATGTCACCACTAAGGCAGTGGTGACACTGGCACACGGCTAACAAAGACCACGACATCCACAAAAGCGAAGTCATAGTGGTACGAAAAAAAGCAAATATCAGCCAAGGATTTTTGGGAAGGTTCTACATTCAGAGCAACAACTCGAAATGAAGTCCCAATTCCAGTTCCTGCCTGGTGCGCAGGCAGCTGCAGCCAGCGCTGGCATGCCAGCACAGCGCCTGCCACACAAATCGGAACGGCTTGAGTTAGAGGGGACCTTAGATAAAACTCATCTAGTTCCAACCCCCCTGTCGTGAGCAGTGACACCCCCCACCAGACCGGGTTGCTCAAGGTCCCATCCAGCCTGGTCCTGAACGCTTGCAGGGATGCGGCATCCAAAGCTCCTGTGGGCGACCCGGTCCAGTGTCTCACCACCCTCTTAGTGAAGAGCTCCAACAGCTCCAACGCTGTGCGACAAACACCAACGGCTTCTCCAGAACACCTCAACCTCTCTACCAGAAAATAATTCTTGGTACATTCTAATAGAGAACACAACTTTAGCCACGGAGAAATTTCTAAGCAATCAAGTTAACTGACCACTGTGGTAAATAATGAGAAACCTTGTTTGACAGCAGCCTACAAAGTTATTAAAAAAGGGCAAGAGGCATTCTCATTTGAAAGCTGCTGTCTCTAGTGAAAAGCATGAGGATAATTTCTATGGAACTCAGAATCTAGAGATTCTACCGCCTTCTCTTGCACAGCTCAGCTCTTGAGAACATGGATTGTTTCAGTGCCATGATGTTTGAGAACCTTCCTAAATTTAAATTTCCATTGTGCGTAAGTAAAGTGCACAACTTTAAAGCAAGTGAGTTGTAAAAGTCTTCAAAAACATCATAGAAATCGTTCATCATAAACCAAACCATTTGAAATCAACAACTCTGCTGAGGGCACGAGGGGGTCAGCGCAGCACAAAATCTCCCAGCCCGGAGCGCCTGGGCCGGTGCCCAAGCCTGCGAAGTGCCACCGCGGGTGGACGCCCAGGAAGACGCCCGATGAGCTGACGGGAGCAGTGACATCATCAGCACGTTCTATCTATCGCTACTTTCATGTTACGGGGCTGCCAAGTCAAGGGACTATTTTGAGCTCAGGGTGCTTCAGGAGAAGCTACACTTGTGTGCGAGGAGTGTTTCAGGGACCCTGTTCATTTAACGTAAAACACCTATTACAGACAGTTTGTCGAGTTGCAGTCTCTACAATGCACATTCACTCTTCCGTATCAGGATTAGATCAAACATCTCGTTAGGATTAGCACGTCTCTAATGATGCAGGCAGCTTAATTAAATAGCTGCACTCTGCTGCTGTATGAAACTTCCCAAAGCAAATTGTGCAGGACAAGAATTTCACCTCCTATATAGCACTTAAAATGGGACGACAAAATCCCTGAACTCTCTATTACCTCCTTTCTCAGAGCTACTACTATTTTCTCTAGAGTTATACATTCATTTCTTAGAGCAACTGATCCTCTGGGAACAGAAAGCTTTTAATTCCAGTTTATCCAATGGCTTCTGGCATATAAAGATCTGAATTTTAAACATGGTTATCAAACTGCTTGATAAAGGGAAGTTTTGACCTACTCACAAAGCTGCCTTTCTGCAACTCCTACCACTGGTCTCCACACAAGATACTACTTTTCACCTCTGCAGGTAACTCCCGTTTGCTGCTTCTGGCATCAGGCTCCAACAATCTTTCCTGACATCAAGAGTAGGGTCTGTGGGCTGAAGCCCTAACTCCAAATCTAACTGCAACACGGGAACTGGGTCGCTGGGAATCCAGCAGACAGAAAGGCGCTGCACC